CAGTCTGAACAACAACTACGTCATGTGCCTCACAAGCCTTTTACTCATGACAGGGCTGTTGTTCTGAGACCTCCTGCCTCTACGGCAAACGCACAGAGAGGCATAACATGGTATAAAGAGCAGAAGACCTGGACCCCCAAGCAATAGGATATAACGACATGGTCTGCTGACTCATATGTTACTCATCTGGACGTGCTTGCTTTAGGAAAAGCCAAACGATGCCTCCAACCCACAGTATCTGCTGGCAACTGTTAGACACAATGCTGGACCTGTAATATTATGGGCTGCCATTGCATACAAGGCACTGGGTCCATTGATTACGCTGCAAAATAGCCAGGGTCTATGAAGTCATTTTAAAGGACCCTGTGCACTCTCTGGTGTAAAAATTCCTATATATGCCAAAATTTTTATGTCCCCATAAATACAGGTTTAAAAGTTCAAAAGTGGTTTTATAAACACCATGGTTAAGTCAAACGCATCTCAGGGTCTCATCAATCACCAGATCTAAACATCACTGGACCTTCATGGTAAATTCTAGAGGACAGAGTGGAAAGTTGAGTTCCTGCTCCGTCTGTAATTCCAGTAAGGATGGAAGCTGTTCTTTTGCTAAAGGCTGGCAGTGTTTGCTCGACGACGTTAGGCGTCTCGTTGTGCACAAGGTCGTCTCCAAGACCTTCAAAGCCCAATCAGAATTTAAATATTAATTTGTGAACCTCCAGGTTTAATGTATTGCGATGGATGAGAGCTCTATTGCTGTAGTAATATTAGAATGAATTTCTTAACAGTTGTGATGACACTTCTGTGCAAGACGAACTGTGGAATATGCAGATATAATTCCGTGAATGAACAAGCTTTAACCCGAATCACGATCACAGAGGCAACAGGAAAGCAGGAGGTACTGTCTGTCATCATCAGTATCCACCTAACACTGAGTTTTCCTATTCACATAAAAAGCGTGCTTTATGGTTTCTGTCCCAGGGTTATCTGAGTTGGCATCTTTAAACCGTTCCAGCTGAGGATAATCAGACCTAGCAAAGACTCCAGTGGGAGCAAATGCAGAACAGCAGAGTCACTGGGAGGGAGAGAGAGGCGTGGACTCAGCACACAGTTTAGCACTTAACTCTAACTGAATGGAGACAGTCTGCTGATCATTGCTGCTGCTCCTGAAACACACCATAGCAGCTGGATCTGCATGATGCAACATCTGGACAGGGAGGACAAGCCACCCCTAAAGCGCTTTAGTAGTCTGAGTAAAGCATGTCATCTCTATCCAAATAATAATATTAATAATAACAATAATAATAATAATAATAACAAATTTGTCAAGTATAACTAAGACTAAAAATTACCTAATATTTTTACATAACTGAAATATCTACTTCATATTCATATACAAATTCATATACTTCACTCAAAGAATTCTGTTAATGACATTGCAAATGCCAAATCTAAAGTATCTTTAATGTAACATTGGTACTATATAAAGCTATATTTTAAAAGACAGTTGATGATGAAAGTACTCATTAAATTCCTTACCCACTACTGGTTTATTCTTAAAAGGTAAATCAACATAGTACATAGTGATCAGATGGTAAATTATATTACCCATAATAAATCTTTACCTGAAGTTCATTCTAAGGGAGACATCAAGCAGAGCGTGCAAAGGCCTTTGAGTGTATCGGACTGTTATTCATCAACCTCTTTATGGAGAAAAATACTATTGGTTCCACCTGTATCATATATGCTGTTCTCTTCCAGGGAACAACAAGCTGTTTTTCAAAATCCCACTGAAGAGAGAACCCATATAAAACCAGGAAGCAGACCTTGTTATTTCTTACACAAACCCCCCCCCCCCCCCCCAAAAAAAAAACTCACAATATCATCACAACACTAAGAAGCCAAAAGAATAAAGAAACAGACTTAAAGACACTCTCTGCCAGTTCATCGCTGCAGACAATCCTCCAAGGCAGTAAAGGATAACAAATGAAGCCAATACAAGACAATTATTGCTTCAAAACTCCACCCGAGTCAAGCTGTGACAAACAGCTGCAGCCTCCCAGCGTTAAGCCCGACTCAGCAAAACCAACTTTGGGCCCAGATGGGACCCACTGACCACGTCGGATGGGCCACTTCCTGCGATCGATCCTCCCCTGTAAGGTGAGGCTCACTTTCCTCCCAAGGCATTAGGGACACCCCCAATCTGAAGTCCAGATTTCTAGATAAGGCCGACTCCTGTCCATAAACACCAGGACTCCTGAAGTAAGATGATATCTTCATAATGATGCTTCCCTTTATATGAATCTCATGAAAATTAAGTGTCTGAAATATGTCTATAGAGATCGTGCTGGTATATCTAAATTAAAGGCACAATTACACATTTTTAAATGGTTTTGTCCAAAGTAGCGCGCAAATGAGATTCAGAGAGCAGGATCATCCAGCATCCCTGCAGCAGTTGAGGTCAAGGACCATGTGATACTTTGCCAATCATGGGATTTGAGCTCACGAGCTTCCAATCATGGGCACAGGGCCACAGTCCAGCGAGCTGCACGCCACCCCAGGAACTACAGCTGCACTGTAGCAATGAAGATGGAGAAACATTTAAGAGATCTTACGTGGCCATTTTCCTTTTACGTAATACTGCTATCATTCATTTCCATCCACTGTTTATGAGTCAACAGGTTATGAGGCCATTTATCAAATGTTAATGGTCTGACTGTCTGCACTTTATATTACGACACGAAGCCTTAGTGAATTCTTTCAACTCGGTGGCTGAGACGGTTCCAAAGGAATATGTGAGAAATCACTTTCTAAAGGGTAAGTCAGTCAAATAAAGTGAATTTTGAAAGTACTGCAGATAACCTCATATCACTTCGAGAGATGCATGTTTACCAGACACTGATTAATTGAAGATCGAAACACAGTTTACCAAAACTGTTCAAATCTGAGAAAAAGATTATACATGTAAAATAAGAAAATATTCATACTTAATAATGAAGTCTGAATTTCTCAAAGAACATTTACAGAATTAATACCTAAAAGTACAAAAATCCTTTTCCAAAATCATCAACTCAATTTCAGAAGCATCCCAGTACAAAGACAGCAGTGAATCGAAATATATATGCATGAAGCTTTATTGCCCTATTATGTCTACAAAATCAACATATACGTATAGTTTAGTTTTTTGTCAATTTTACCAGCAGAACAAATAAAGACCTAAACATAACATACTAGATGCTTCCATTAAAATGTCTTTTGATGCTTTTTATAACTAACTTTCAGATCAAGAGGACTGGGACAGCAGATTCTATGCACCCCCCCAAATCCAGACCAATAGCTAACACACACACGTAGCTCACGGGTCCCTTGCCTCCTAACTCCCTCCTCTGCAGGGGGCATCTATCGTCAGCCCAATGACAGCTAGCATGCTTGCCCCAGGGACTGGAAGCCAAAGACATGCTGTAACGTATGCACAGGCATTCACCCGCAGCAGAACACACGCAATGGGGAGTATGACCGCCTTTGACAATCAGGAAATGCTTTTGCATTTATGACCGGAGAAAAAGAAATTCCTGTTGATATATATGGCTTTTCCTTTCATTATAAACTAATATAAAAGTATAGAAAATGTACACATTCAAAGTAAAACAAAACATATAAAGTAAAACAAATATTTATTTGAAATGTTTTAACATGTAAATTGTATATATTTGTAAAGGAATTCAGCACCATATTACAATATAAAGGCTTAATAAATCTATATTTTTTATTAATTATTCATAATGTGTGGCGGATTTGCAGTGTAGCCTTACATTGAAAGGCTTGGTGCCTTGTAAAGGAAAAAGGGTTAGAAATGAAGATGCAATGATCGCAAAACTTACAGGGTCATCCAGTGCAAAGTACACATGCTGGCAGCAGAGCTCAATACATTTATTTTAAAACAAGATTTATGTCTCTGTTTCTGCTACATACTTCTACCTTCATTTATGAGGAGGACCAAAAACGGCTATAGTCACGCCTAGCCAGAAAGTCAGAATTTAAACTGGAGAGATACTGTTGTGGTCAGTGTTGGGCTCATAACCAGTGGACTACTAATTAATGCCCCTTGTGCAGGGCCCTTGAGAAACATCCATCACCTGAACTGCAGAACTTTTGAGCTACTTGGGTAAATGTCTCACTCAGTGAAGGAGAGCCTGTTCCCATCATTGCCCACATAGCTGTGTGCTCCAAATTCACACATGGGAGTTTTACTTACACAAAAATGTTCTGAGGGCAGCACGAAAAATGATTGGTTCAGAGAGATAACCAATTAGAGTGTATAGGAGGTAGGTCCAAGCAATTAGAGGAGGCGGACCAACCAATCTTGGTTCCGCCTCAAAACATTATTGTATAAGTAAAACTCCCGTGAGCTCCAAAATCCTTTAACTGCTCTAGCCAATCGGTATCTATAAAACATCAAAGAATCCACCGAAGTATAGTCCAAATTATTAAAACAGAATTTGCTAATATTCCTGCAGTTTACAGTGAAATAAAGTATTGTAGACTTGATGTGTTCATCGGCAATCAAAAAAGGACTTAACCATGTCAACAGAAGTCATCAAGACCCTTTTGGAAAATCCTGCCCACAGAGAAGCCTTCCTCACCATGGGTTCTCAGAAGATTCCCATAATTCAGCAAATCACAGGTATTGATTATACAAGCTAAACAAGAAATCCAATCATTATTTGAGCTTATTTTGGGGAGGAGTTACATGGGGAAAAAAAAAGGTTTTAATGAGCAGTGGAAACGTTCAGAAGATACCAGAACATTGCTTCATACTGGAACATGAAAAGGTTCCTTGAGGTAAATCCAGTTCAGATACTTTGATGCCTGTGTGGCACGGCTTCACCACGATGCGATGCCACATAAGTTTCAACTTTACTTCACGGAAAACAGATGTGCTCATTATTATAGGCGTTGTTTTCTTCCTCGTGGACTGAAACATAAAGACCTCCACACTCAGAGGATGCTCATCCAGAGTTTTTATTCTGTAGCACATGAACAAATCACAGATATGATACAAAATTCTTGTTTATGCGTCAAACATTCAGGCTTCATGAAACATGCCTCAAACAAATTAAATTATGTTTAAATTATTATAATCAATGGCATATTTTTGTCCAGATCAAGTTGAGGAAAACATTATGGAATCACTCAAGGTAAAAAAAAAAACATAACTATGGAATCACCCTGTAAATTGCATTTCTAAAACAAATACTAGCACAAGTGTAAACATGCAAATTAATTTGCAGTTTAAAGTCTGTGTTTAGAGACATTAACAAGCTGTTAGACTTGGCTAATTGAAAGGACACATGGCCTTAACAAGAGAGCTGTCAACTGAAACAATGGAAAGGATTATAATCAAGAAGGGAATCCAAAGCGGAGTGTGGCAAAAGATATTGGCTGTTCCCAGTCAGCTGTGTCAAAAAATTGGTACGGCTATAAACAAAATGGAAGGCTAGATAGACCAAGAAAGACGTCAAAGCGTCAGGATAGAAAACTCAAAGCAATATGCCTTGAAATATTTGGAATAGAAAATGCAGAACAAAACAAATGAGAAACAAATGGGCAGGAACAGGAGTCAATGTTTGTGACAGAACTTTAAGAAAAAAAAATGAAATGGGATTTACGTACAGAAAACCCAAATGGATAGCAGCACTAACACCTAAACAGAAGAAAACAAGGTTACAGTAGCTTAAAGAGAAGCTGTCATGGACTGTGGGTGATTAGATAAAAGTGATATAAAACCTTTGTCTGGTGCCATTCTAATGAAACATATAAAGACGACTGCCTGAAGAAAACAAGCAAATTTTCCCAATCATTTATGATATGGGGTTGCATGTCAGATAAAGGACCAGGGCAGATGGCAATCATTACCTCATCAGTCAATGCACAGGTGCACAGTGAAATTTTGGACACTTTCCTCATTCCTTCGATAAAACATAGGTTTGGTGGTGATATAGGCATTTTTCAGGATGATAATGAATCTTGCCACAGAGCAAAGAGTGGTAAAGGTCTTCTTCAGAAAAGGTACATCAACTCAATCACATGGGAAAATTTATCCATGACAAGGGCTCATCCTGCAAAGCTGATCTTTCAACTGCTATTTGAGAACGACAGAACTACTGTAGCTTGATGTAGAAAATAGTTTTTCATGCCTCCAAGAATTCAGGCCGTCATAAAAGCCCGAGGAGGAGCAACAAAGTAATAATTGTGTTTTTTCTTACTTGATGATTCCATTTTTTTTCCTCTACTTGATCAAGACAGAAATATGTCATTAACTAAAATTATTTTATTTAATTTGAGAGATGAACATTCACTAAGTGTGGCGATTCTATAATTTTTGCCCGCAGTTGCATCTCCTGTATAATACGAAATGTCATCAGTCACCCATCCTGTGCCTCTGTATTCAATTTTGTAACCAAGGCCACAGTCTCCAGGTGAAAGGGTCTCTCCTCTTAAGTACACTGTTGTGCAAAGCCCATTTTCAGTCCTGTGTTTCTCAGACTGTCCTGAGATAACTCTGTCTAAGACCAGCCCAAAACGCACAACCCAAAGACACTTAATATGACAGGCACATTGGACAAACCTGCTCTGTTATGTCAGTATACAGAGCAACAAAAGTCCCCAAAGCAGCAGACTGAAGTGTGTATGGATTTCTGTCCCATGAAAACATGTTACACATCAGTCTGGAGAGAGCTTTGGCTTTACCATGCCTCTAAGCATTATTAACTCCCTTCAGGGAATGCGAAGCATGCACAATTACTAAATCTTGCATAAGGCACACATGCTATGGCACACTAAACTCTGGCATGCAAGAGAGCTTGTTTCCTGTAAACAGATGGGCCTTGGTCACTGAAGTCTCTTGGATGAGATACAAATGAATCTTGCCTGTCAACAGTGAAAGCCAGTGGTGGTGATGTCACCAACATCGAATTAGCAGTTTTTAGCCCTGTAACGTCAATATTTATAAGATAATAAGGCGGCCCTCTGCGTGTAACCTACAAAAGTCTATGGTGATTACTAATATGACCCCTGGTCACTGGGGCTTGATTTGACAATTTTTGTACATCTTAAGTAAGGACGTCCTGCCTCCTTCAAGGAAAGAACTGGCTACTTCTCTAGATAACGGAAGACCAGCAGGATACAGAGAGCAGAGTTTGGTCGTAGATTCTGGTCAAACAACATGATAGTGACTTTTCCTTCAGCTTAGAATTTGGCTTTGACTTTCGGTTGGAATTATGAATTTTAGTTTATGGTCTTGATATTTTGGAAAGACTTGCTGTCTTTGGACATGTGATTCTACTTGATTGTGTAGATGGCCTTTTCTTTTGAGTCTCTTCTTGTATCTTTTGTGCATTCCTGTTCTCTGTTAGCATGTACTCACACTTAGCCCAGTTGCCTCATACCATGGATAATTGTCCCCCGCACTCCCCTACTGGTCTGCGCTCACATTGCGCTTAACGTTCTGGGCTGAAGCACGCTTGTGCCTTCAGTCACCTTGTGACTTCTAATGTTGAAGAAAACATAGGAAGAAAAGTGTCATCACAGCACAATGGAAATCTTGATTAATGTCCTTATTATGTGGCTTATTTGGGGTCATTTTGGGCACAATGGCACATAATCCTCATGGATTTATCAATTGCGATTTTAATTTAAATCATGCTGTGTGTATAAAGACAGTATTGTATTATACCACATATCTCAGAGTTTTTGTGTGCTGCATTCAGTTGTTCCTGGATACTCTCGTTTGCCCAATTCGCAGCAAACACTGCACCTGTGCCGTAGACCAAAGTGATCCTTCTGGCACCGTGTTAGTTAAATGTTTGCCGCAACCTGATCTGTACAGCCAACCCGATCCATTCCTTTCAGGTACGGCTCATGCACAGTGTATATGTGTGTATGCGTGTGCCAGTCGCATCATTGACATCATGTCTCTGTTCCATGCTCGGGCATGGTTAGCGTTCACACCGTATGTATACCGTACCTCAGTCCAACGGAACTGGCCCTGGGCATGGATTAATGTACCATGAGCAAGCAGAATCTGGAGCAATCAGAGGATAGTCAAACAAACTAAACTTTGGGGTCAAATGTCCTCGGGCATGGTACGGATCACCCAGTTGGTGTAACCCTAGCTTAACAACTCACAAAGTGCGAGTATCTCCTGCTTTTGTGTGGGACCTTCTTTTCCCAACATGATATGCCTTTCATTACTGTTATGTACACAGTACATCTATAAATGTCTGTCAAAACGTATTTGATTCTACTGATGTAATAATATGGAGAAAAATAGTAAAGCAGGAGTATCAGTAACTGCCATGCAATTTATGTTGAATATTAACTCAGCTAAATTTAGTATTTTTAGCCAAAATAATTTTTAGCCCAAATAATTGAAACAATAACAATGCATTAAGATCAACAGAATTCCCACTTTATACCTCGTAAGAGCTATGCAGCTTGTGACAATAATGTGCTCTCCATCTTGCAGGTCTGCTATCCCTGTCTGATTTGTCGCAGTATTTTGTCACAAATGCAATAATTTCAAAGCCACACTATCTCACATTTAATAATAAGATTAAAAAAAAGAATAATGCCTTGAAGAACATAGAGGAAGAGCGTTATGATAGGTGTAAATCAAGCCAATCAGAGGGCTTAATATTTCCATACCTTCAAGCCAATCAAAGGGCTTGATATTTCCATACCCTCACTTCTAAGCATAATGAAACCTAAAGCCTGCTGTGCTGAGACCTTCCAAGACATGAATCACTCACACTTAGGCCAACCACTGGTAGCCTGAATATCCAATTAAGTTTAGCAATGGTCTGCTTAATTTATCACATTGGAATTTATCACATTGTTTGTATTATATTTTTCCATATCTTTCTGCGTGTTCAATACTCTTTTTAAGACTCAAAGGCCACAGACATTTTCAGTTTTTTTTTTCTATGCCACTATAACCATTCTTCATTCATTAATATACTGCATATGAACAACATCTACTGCAACAAGTTTGTTGTGATAAGTGCTGAGAAAGTTAACTGTACTTGGTTATTTTGACCACTGCACGCCAGTATCGCAACTATGGATCTTGTGTAATGCTGTTGGATAGATCAGGACTTCATTCTGATGGCAAAACTTTAAACTTCTATTGCATGCTGACGTGCTGGTACACTCTGTTCATTGGGCCAGCCAGTATCCTGACACACATGCACTCTCAGTATTTTTATGAAAAGGATGCATCATTTTAAGCAATATGACACATTTTCAAATAAATCCCTGATCCAGCCCCTGCACAGTCCCTCAAAAAACTGGAAGTACTCCATTCTAGGTTTTACGTGTGGAGCTTACTATATACTACAAAAACTTAAATACATCGGGCCAAAAGAAGTTTTGTTTTCGTGCGTCGAGGGCCTCATTCACGCCTGCAACAGGAACATATCTACAACAGAATACGCATTTCCACACCTGACGTGTACCGGTTTATTTTCATGCACATTCTTTGGCTGACAACTCGGTTATTAGTAACTGGCTATAATTTGGTCTCCTTTGAAGTCAGAAGTCTGCCATCTGAGACATGAGTAAGGAGTGAGAGGACATCCCACGTGAAGTGTCCCCCCTGCAAACAGAACCACACGGCAACATCGTGAATGTCACATACGGGGACGATGTCGGGCCCCACCGGATACACTGTGTTCTTGTCACAGGCCGTGATTTATTTGTTTGAGAGTGACATAAAATCATCGCCGCCTGACGTCAGCGCCTGACTGCGCTGCGGCCCACCTGCCCGGCAGTGTGCCATAGCTTGCTGTCAGTGCTGCCATAGAAACAGGACATGTTGTGTCAAACGGGTGGCCATAGCCTATGCAGAACTGCACCGCACCTGCCACCAAAGGAGGATGGCATCGCGTGAGGGACAGTGAACGTGGTCCATAGGCTAGTTTCAAGCACATGGCAGGGCAGGTGATAGACTACTTCAAATTCATAAATAAATATTTAGTTGTATCATTGGGCAATAATATATAAAGTCCTGGCGTGTCTATAATGCAAAAAATTAAATAAGCAAGAATGCTTCCCAAGATTTCATGTGTAAAATACAGTCCTGCTCAGAGGTCGTTATGGTTTTAAAAGTTGATGCCCTCTGAACAGGACGATTCGCAAGCACTCAAAAGAAGAGCTTTGAAATGAGCTTCACCTTAAAGTAGATAACTGCCTTTGTCTGGTTTCTGTTTCAGAAAATATGCCACTTAATTATTTATGACTCATTTATGCTGTCTTGAGCACTTTACCAGGCAGGACTGGATGAGTCAGTAAGACCTACTCATGACAATCTGGAGAGCCCAGCTGATCTGGCCCCTATATATGGCCATATGACAGAGAGCCAGCAAAGTAACTCAGGAAACAAAATAGACAAACATTTTTTAAATATCCTGAACTGACGTCAGATATCAAAAAAATTTGATGCTGACGGCAACGGGCCGACAAAGAGTTGAACAGGCCGACTGGGTCTTTCGATTTGGATAATTAATGTGCGGATAGTGAAGAGAAACCTGAAATTCACAACAGATTCGGCTCAGAGAGATACGACAGCCTTCATTCAGGCATCCGGACAAAGGTGAAAGCGAACAGGACACTATAGCCGGTGTAAGATTGGCAAATTCCTCAAGTAGAAAAACACAGACAGTCTAATGAACAGAAACACAATTACAAGCTAGACTGGTCTCCTGTAGAGGTACCTAGTCATTCATAGATGTGAGTCTACTTACATATTCTATCCTACTGATCTCTCAGCACTTTCCATCAGGTCAGAAGTTAAAATATTACAGCCACACATAGCATTCATGTTGTAGATTATATTGTTAAGCCTTAAAACAGCAAATCTGTAGTGACAGATGGTCTGGTTTTGTCGCCATTACAAACGGGAGCAGTAATTGCTGTATCCTTAGACTCAGGCTTAGTTTAGTCTGTTCCTGGAAAGCTTCAGACAGTGACTTCTTACCCCGACTTGCATCTAGATGCAGATTAAATGTGCAGCGCTGATCAACTCAAAATAAATTTGTTGAATCTTGTGGAAGATGCTCTAATTGAATTCCCATACAGCAATGGCTTGTTATGATACGGGAGGAGGGTGGCGCCCCCCCATCCTGCTTCTCAGGCTTTGATCCTTCCTACACTGACGCAAAATGCTCCTGCAAACATCTTTCATTATCCCCACTCGCCTCGTTTCCCTGCATATTGCTGCATTACCTCTGAGGGATGGCGAACTCTCTCAGTGACAGACTTGGACTGTTAATTCTGGAGGCGGCGTGAGGCTCAGTGGTTAGGCTACTGATCTTGTGATCAGAACGTCACTGGTTTAAATCCTGTGGCTGGCAGAGTCATTTCACCATTGAACCCTTGAGAAATCCCCCAGGGAGCATTACACTCTGCTCTCTCAAACATACGTTGTGTTGGCTTAATAAATGTTAACCACCTTGAGAATCCAAAGAGAAAGACTTCAATCCCCTGTTCTAACAATTGCCTTCCTACATTTTTTTTTTAATTTCCATGGAATGTTATATTGATGGTTAAGTGGGGGTTTGATTCCCACCTGTGCGTGGAGTTTGCATATTTTCCCCATGAAACTCCAGTTTCTGATGACATACAAAGGACATTCAGTTAAGTGAAATGACATCTTGACACCACACCACACCAAATATATGCTTAAATATTTGATTAAATAAGAATGTAACATTGATCTAAGAACATGTGACTTATTAAAAGCTATTTTTACAAACAACCGAAAGAATGTTTTCTAATCAGGTACTGTGGCATCCTCCCGCGGGTGGGAAAACACTGCGGGACCAGATGCAAGGAACCGGCAGAACACATGGCGCCTCTGAGAGCTGAGGTCTTGCAGATCACCCCCTTCTCGTGGAGGTGGCACACTCTTTCTAGGGATTCCTCAGTCGCGTGGAAAGCAGACATCCGTCAGGCCCAGCATGTTTACATCCTTCGTAACAGACGGAGATTCTGCCTGCTGAAGACCGACACTTCAGCGCTAACAAAGACCATACCTAACGAAGACCTCCATCCACAAAAAAAAGAAGAAACTTTCCCCACTCTCAGATAGACACCCGAGAATGAGATAGCAGACCAAGCTAAATCACCTTTAAACAGATGCTTACCAGTGGAATGAGCTCCGAATGAAAACAATCGACCTCTATATTTGGTGTGGAAAGTTACCTCTTGCGGGGAGCGTGAGGCGGGCTTGTCCTGGTGGTTGGCCAGAATGAGGAACGGGAGCGTGGAGAGCTGGGGGTGCTGCAGGGCGGCATGGAGCTCCTTCCGGGCCACTTCCATGTCCCCTTCAGAAGAGGCGCTGTCCAGAACGAAGATCACTCCCTGCGATCCCTGGTAATAGCGGCTCCAGTACTTCTTGATATTGTCGGCTCCTTTAATGAAAGAACCAAGATTGTATGTTAGTGGACGACCCCATTCTCAGACCACTCATCTCTTTGCAGAGCGCCAGCAGTATTAATATTTCAACACTCACAGTAAATTTTCTCCACAAAAATGTATTTTTTGATTTGATTCATCAGACTGAAATCGACAATATCAAAGTCAAATCTTAAACTGATGAATCACCTTCACCTTTTGTTTTGTGCCTGAATAAACAACCCAAGTTTCAAAAAAGACCAAGAGAAATGTAATCAATCAAGTCCCATGTTTACACATTCTTAGTAAAATTGTACTAATGTTATGATTAACTAGGAGTCACAATAATCAAAGAAAATTATTCATAAGTACATTGAGAAACATTCAGTGTGCACTAAAAATGCATATATTTAACATTTGAATAAAATATTACCTAAAATTGTGTTTAGAGAAATGTGCCAATGTAATTTATGGTTCAGTGTTGTTGTTTTTTTAGCACAGGAAGTTGCATTACATACTGCACAGACTTCATCTTGGGGTGCCAAGTTTGGCCCCCGCTTGCAAGACCCTTGGGGAAAAGAGCGTCCAAACGCACTCTGCTCGAGATAAAGCCTTTCTTCAAAGTAAATATCGATGCTGTGAACCATTAAAAGCAGGGCACGCAGTTATGTTGTGAGTGCAGATTCCAACAAAGCAAAGTTCAAATGCCTCCCAATTTATAGTGAACATATGGTTCCTTTTGTCCGCGGTAATTCTGGCACGGCTCTGTTAGGGGAAGAAACCTACACGCTACCAAAATGAGCTTCTCTCCAGTGTCCCCCCTTGTCTTAGTTTGGTTGTCATGACAACTCAGGTGTGTCGGGGTTGGAAAAGAGCAAAGCAAAGTCGACACGACACTCCAAATATCAGCAGCAAGCCATTTTGCCATATATTTGACATACTTCCTCCTTTACACATTCTCTCCTGTAATTAATAAAAACCAGTCTTTTCAGCCAAAATACTGTTACTCTGATTTGTCTAATAGCCGTCAATGTCTGCTGTGACGAACTGAAAAAAGAATATTTTCAAGGTGAACGAATACCATCATATCTATTATTTTAGACTTGTAAGACTCTTCAGGTTTACATCCTTATATAGTTGTACCAATTATTCCACTCATTGTTAAGTGAAATCTGAAAATGACTGGCTCTGGCCAGTTTCTGCCCCCTATTGGTCAGAAGGAGAATGCGATAATGCCCTATAAACAGCCTGAGAAAGCTCATTCGCCGATGATCACTTCCTGAAATATCTAAACAAAAATGTTACAGCTATATTGCGCTGGGGGCCAAACTTAAATGATTCTCAATGTTCTCAAAACAGCTCAGGGCAGAGTGTTTCCCAGAAACAAAATATAATGATAATTACTTTGTGGCCTTACATTTCAACCAAAACAGCTGGAGCCATGATGAAGACCACACTGATACCCCCTTCTTTGGTTATTTGTTTATTATTTGACCACAGGAAATAAAACACATTTCTAGCTCTGCTTGATCTACTGGTGTGCATGGTATATGTTCTCGGTTTTACATTTTAGCGAAAAAGACAGCTGGCTTTTCTCATCTCCTGTCTTGCACTGCATGAGCTACCTGTTTTTTAACCATATCGCAGGCTGACAAACTACCTAGTCAGCGTGCCACTGCAACCGTGCGTGTGCCGTTATTTGAAGAATGCTGTACGGTCATAGAAGATAAATCAGACGCATAAATCAGTCACCTACACGTTCCTGCGCTTCTCATATGCTCAGGTGGCTCCTTAAGACGTCGGATGAGAAACCGCCTCTCTGGAATTGGATTAATTACTTGCCAATATGGTTCTGCTGGACAACTGCATTCCGACCACCCGAGTATCAGAGCGACAGCAGAAATGTGTGCAGCAGGCCTGTTCGGTCTTAATGGTCCGATGTGGTCATAAGTGATGCCGGGGGCAGCTCCGTGTGGCAAATCTGTCCAGCAGCTGTCCTGACTGCGTGTCTGCCCAAACTTCTCATCCGCGCTTCAGTCCCATTGAGCCGCATAGAAGGCCTGCAGACTTATCCGGGCAGCTTCACATAAACGTCTGTAATTATGACAGCCAGTCTGGGGTGGTCTCTTGTGTCAGCAGAATATGTTAATCAACAGTGTGCATGCAGGCATCTGTCAAGCGTGATACCTGAAAGCAGGCAAATGCAGATACTAACAGAAGAGTGCTTTAAAAAATCAGTGAAGAATAGGGTCGGCGTATTTACTGTTACACTGGATTTAAGAATCACTCCTCACTGCCGTTTATCACTAAAATACAATTGTTCCTCAAAGCCATCAATCCATTTTCTGAAACCGATTGTACTATTCAGGTTCTCAGGGGGTCCGGAGCCTAAGCTGGAGGCTATGGGTGCAAGACAGGGACCAACCCAGGACGGGGCGCCAACCCATCACAGGGCACAAGGCAGGGAACAACCCAGGATGGGGCACCAACCCATCACAGGGCACAAGGCAGGGAACAACCCAGGATGGGGCACCAACCCATCACAGGGCACAGTCACGCACCAGTCACGCCTACAGGCACCGCCCTCAAAGAACCAATACAGGAGTATTGCGGAATTAGGGAGACATGACTGGTCTATGGTGCAACTGAACAATATTTTAAAATTAGCTAATAAAATTTCAAACAGTGCAATTTTATTGTTGGGTCTTAATTTTCAAACCAGAATAAGTATTTGTTTTTTTAAAACACCCCTACCTGAAACCAGCACATTTGAAAATAGAACATTGTTTTTCTTTGTTTACAATTCTTATAATCACATCAGCCTGTGGTGGCCTTTTTCACATCTGCTGTCAGTTTGGACGCAACAGCTTTTGGTCAAACATCTTTATTGAGTGGCATGCACGCAATTCTCCAACACGAGAAAAAAATCATGAGACGCAGAGCACACATGACGACTTGATATAATGGATAATGTATATACAGCTGCTTAAACGCACAATTTATTAATTCTGTTTTAGGAAATTATGTAATATCCTTACTTGCATAACATTATATGTTCAACGGTCATTAGAGATTGCCTAAGAAGGTTTTTTTTATTGGCTTCCACCTGGCAGTTCATAAGGAGAAGAAAAAACATAAGTATGTAGTTGTTAGTGCAGCCATCTGTAATTTGAGATTCGATGAAATATAAAACAGCGTTCAGCTAATAAAGCTAATAATGCAGTGTTTCAGTCTCGTGTACAAAGGGCAGCTTCCCGAAGCAGGAGATGAATTTCTATCACTGCATTTTGCAGCCCTGCATTCTTAAAAGCCATAGCTTTCGCCTGACACCCGGAGCTGTGTGGCTGGATGCCTGGGGCCCGACCGTCCGCAGCCCGGCCGCGTCTCAGCCTGGGCCGAACCACAGCAGCAGCTCCTGCACCACTTCCCTCTCCTATAGCCGGTGCTGGCTAGGCCGTGCAAACATTCCCATTGTTGACGCATTTATCACTCCGTGGCATCAACAATGTCTCTTTAAACCAAACAGATAGGGCACAAGCCCTGAAGCTTGACTTTCCTTACTGGCACTCTAAGGACGTGTGACATTTATAAACTACAGAGCCAAATATAGGCCAGGTAAAGTACAATAAATCAAAACAGCAGTGCTCAAAGCCACTGCTTTGGCCCGAAGCAGAGTATAGAGTATAGAGTGAATCCGACACATGTCCGTCTCATTATCTCTTGATTTTTAAAATCATGCTCAGTCACAGGTGTGATGCAGGTGAAATCTTAAATCATGCAATTCCTTTCAGTAAGTCAGTCTTGAAGCTGTTTGTCTTCTCAAGTCAGTTGAACGAAGCATTAAAAAAGTGAGTCTTTTGCTGTTCGCAACTGAAGTTAAAATGTGGCAGGAAAGTGATGACACACTAGGAAACAAAAAAATGCACAGCAGAGGCTGAGATGGTGACAGTAATTGTCAGTGATCATAACCCAGTATCTGAATGTGGTTTCAGTTGTGTGCTGTTCAGAGAATGAACATCAGACTGACCTTTGGGGGTGGACAGCAGCCCTGGTATCCTAAACCTTTTATTAACCGAGGAAAGGCCTGCCGCATGATTAACCGAGGAAAGGCCTGCTGGAAAGGCCTGCCGCATGACTAATCTTTCAGAAACAGTAATGCTGTGAGAACTCTAAATTAAAACAACCTGTTTCCTTCTGCTTTGAGACTAATAGCAGTTTACCAATGATGTCAATTTCTGTTTTTTTTTTTTTTTTTAACATGGAGAAGGACGGCTTCATTCACAGTCATTATTAGCGAGGCAAACCACATCACATTTTACAGTAATACAAACCATGTTGCAGCAGAAATTATTACATTGCTGTGGCCATGTGGAATAAATGCTTTCAGATTCTTCATCCTGGATAGGCATCTAGAGTGCTTTCAGATACCGTGTCCCGGGTAGGCATCTCGATTGCTTTCAGATTCCCCGTCCGGGGTAGGCGTCTGGATTGCTTTCAGGTTCCCCGTCCCGGGTAGGCGTCTCGATTGATTTCAGGTTCCCCGTCCCGGGTAGGCGTNTTCCCCGTCCCGGGTAGGCGTCTCGATTGATTTCAGGTTCCCCGTCCCGGGTAGGCGTCTCGATTGATTTCAGGTTCCCCGTCCCGGGTAGGCGTCTCGATTGATTTCACGTTCCCCGTCCCGGGTAGGCATCTAGAGTGCTTTCAGGTTCCCCGTCCCGGGTAGGCGTCTGGATTGCTTTCAGATTCCCCGTCCCGGGTAGGCGTCTCAATTGCTTTCAGATTACACGTCCCGGGTAGGCGTCTGGATTGCTTTCAGATTACACGTCCCGGGTAGGCGTCTGGATTGCTTTCAGATTACA